ATTCATTTTAGACAACATAGGAAAAGTCTTGACATTATAACCAGAATCTCCAGCCGGGGATCGAAACAAGTTGTGTGTAGATCTATATCGGGATTGACAACCCTGCACTCAGCCTGCTAGCTACAGTCAGGCATACACGCCGATGAGTGGCAATTATTATCACCAGTTTAAACGCCCACAAAGCGTTTGTTTCAGGCCATCCGTCATAGTATGGTTATAATAACTCATTAAAAAGATATTAACAATACGTTAGTGTATAAACAACTAAACGAAAGTACACCTTCAAAGTACCAGTTTACAGAATACAAACTATAATGGTTCAATACAAATACAAAACATTGATACAAACAGAACGGTTTTATGGGAATAAAACTACTTTTCATATACAACAGAAAATATAGGATTTTCTGGAACAGTTTACATATACAAGATACAGAGACACTCTTTTAAACATAAACACTTATGCACTCACTCAACTTTATGTTGATACTCTCTTTTCAAATTACTTGTATTCTCAGGTAAATAACACACAGGTACTCCCCGAGCTTTTTGAGAAGATGGAGCTATGTTGAGTCATATCTTCTTTTGTATAACTATTTTGGTTCAATATACAATAATTGAACACATGTAAATAGTTATACTTTCTAAATACAATGGTTGCTTGTACTTTGATTACTATGATGCATGTATTGTGATACTACAATTGAAGTCCTCCACCCCCAGACGTTTCCGCCGTTTGGTTTGGGGGTGTGACACATACTTTGTAAACACATTAATATTAATGAAATGGTTGTGTGTTACTTTGATTACTATGATACATGCGTTGTGATACTAAACACGACGTCCTCCGCCCCCGAACCTTTCCTCCGTTCCGGTTTGGGGGTGTGACAACTACCAATTCGACTTCTCACAACTAATGTAGACCTAACATTCTCCCCCTTTGTGAGAAAAGACGAATCATCAAACTTTAGGTAGAATCTTTACTGTCTGCAACAAAACCTCTCATATCTTCATATACCAATGAATGATCTTCCTAATCCTCACCCTGTCTTCATTCTCATTTTTCTGACAGTTGTTGATGCTAAGTAGGATACTTTTAAGATGTTAATTTGAATACCTTTCAACATCATCAATACGTAACAAGAACTTTTTCATGTTATCCTTCTTCGATTTTCCAATGAATACAACACCAAGAGGATCATGAACTATCTCTCCATCTTCATAGTCCTTTTTGCTCATTTTTCCTTTTAACAGTGCTTTAGGAACTTTCGAAGTTCTTTTTAAGTGAGTAGAAAGATTGATATCTATCAAAGCCAAATGAGTGAAATAAGCATCCAGAAAAGTCTTGAGATGGCCATATCCGAGAACATAAGTTCGTTTGTTTGGAATGTCAGTCTTTTTAAGATCGCCCATCAACAATACAGTCGAAACAAGATCATTCACATTCATTAGCAGAAAATTTGCAATTGTAAACTCAAAAGGCACATTGTTTGCATGAACCACCTTGTAATTAAAGTTCTGCAACAATTCTTCGAATAACACATCAAGAGTAATGGATACGAAGTTGGTGATTTTCACCAAAGACTACAATTCTTCCTCACTCTTTCCCAGCAATATGTGAAAGCAAATCTACATCTTTTTAAATTTCTCATTTTTCTCGTAATTCTCAGCAAGTTTAAATTGAGAAAATACAAACAATGAGTAATTAAATGGAAAATACAGTTGATTAAACTATGTATTCTCACTTGCATAAATTTTCCTTGTCTTAACCATAAAATCTCCATCTTCGCTGAAAGTTAAACTTTCAATCAATTTGTAGTTCCATATTTTATTTGGATCACCTTTGTTAAGACCAGGTGGATCATCTTGTCTCTGCCTTATTATGTTATTCAACTGCCTCATCTTCTCTAATTCTTTCTCTTGCAACCTTTTCTTTTCTTCAACTGATGGTTCGACGTGAACACCCTTTCCTTTATCTTTGGGATCAACATTTGATGTAGTCATAACCACTGTAGAACTCGAACCTCCTTCTCTAATACTTATCCCTTTATTTTGCGACTTGCATAAGTCAACATTGACATTTGTAGCATTCGTTTTTGTTGTTGTTGAAGATGTCACCACAAGTTTCATTGGCAGCATAGAGGGAATTTGGGTAGACATGACTCTTCCCACAACTACACCTTTGTCTTCACCAGTTCCTTTAGACGAACCAACCCCCCTTTCTCCATCTTCCGACACATTCACAAAACATGGAGAATTGGTTGGTAGGCAAAGTACCAAATCAGGTATCGGTGCCAACTCCGACTTAACACTTGATTCAATAGAGGAAACCATGGCAGAGATAGATTCATGAGAAAGCGAAGATTGTGATGTTAGATCAAATCTTCATAAAGTCTCTTGAAAGCCAATAAGAGACTTCTTAATTTTATCAAACACTTTTCCAATTTTTTTCATTTTTCAGTTTCAAATCACCAGAGTAATCTTTATTGAACACAATAAGATCCTCCAACAAACGAGTCATAGCTCTAATCAACATAGTAACCTTCTGTTGAACTGTTTCACAAAACCTATCCAGTTTTTGAACCTCTTTAGAAAATAAATTACTGAACTCCTTGATCTTTAACTAAATAGAATCCTTGGAGTAAGTCACAAGTGTTTCAAATATCACATGACGCTCACGACCAACATCTTGTAATTTCATAAGTTCAGAATTAAAACTACAAGAATGATTAGCTAGCCTTTCGTCAATAAGAGTCCTTGTGCGAGACTCTTGATCCTTTAACAAATATTTTACCTCAACACCACTAACACTTGACTTCCTAATACTATCATTCACAAAAAGTAGAATCGAAATCAACTTAAAATTGGGAATTTTGAATTGTTTACCCGACATGATATCATTGTCGGGAACATCATCTTCTTCTGGATTGAACTCCAATGCAGCAAACCCAACCATAACATCATCTTCGTCATCATCGTCATCATGAACTATGACTTCTGGTTTTGTTTATTGAGATGAAAACAAAGTTGTAATTGGCTCTTGAATCACTCCTTCAAAAAAATTTTGGAGAAACACCAGAAATGGAAGTAGAAAGGATTGTAGAAGTAGCAGGTGGTGGTGGTGGTGGTGGTGGTGGAACCGTTGTAGTATCGATGGTTATAGTATCATTGGTTGATGTCAAACTCCTATCACCATGTTAACATTTACGTCCTTATTATATAAGTTTTCATTGATGTTTGAAGTTTCATCCCCCTCCATATTTGACTTGGAATGTGAAACCTCCGGTGGTGTGACAATTGTCTTCTTAGGGAGTGAAGCAATTAATTGTTCATAAGAAATGATGTTTGCGTCCATATCAGATATGTTTGCATTGACATCAGGAATACTTGTCTCCTCAAAAGTCGATTTGACAGAGGTATCCTTCCTAGGTGAAACATAAAATAAACTATCCAATGCATCCTCTGTCTCTTTGCTATCTTCATCTTTTTGAATTGTAACATTTATCATCTGTTTTTCAACAGGAGAAGGCTTAAACTTCTTCAATCTATGGACAACGTCTAACACTTTTCTCTTCTTTGATGCTGGAGAATTTGGAAACGAAACACCTTTGATCGTGAAACCTCGCTTTGTCATCTTCAGATGTAACTTCTTAGGTTTCATAGTTACAACCTCTTGAGTACTAGTTTCGCCCTCTTGATTAGGAACCTCCTCAGTAACCTTCTCAGTTTGCTTCTCGTTTTGCTTCTTAGAACTAACCCTGTAGCTTGCTTAGGAATATATTTCATTGTTTTCTTAAGAACCCCCTTTCCTGACTTCGTAGACACAGTTTTTTTAGGCACTTCCTCCTCAACTGCTTTAGGTTTTGCAATTTTCTACTTCTTCTTCATACCTTTAGATGCTTTTGAAGATCCCTGTGTAGCTTCAAAAGTAACCTTCTTTGGAAGAATATCATTGGGATTTGGATCCATAGAAGCTTTGTAAATAATAAAAAGCTTGTTTTTAGGAGACACCAAATTAAGCATTGCATCTGGAATTCGACCAACCACAGAAAAAACACTCGGATCATCTAGGGCAGACTTGGGAGTAGTCATCTGAGCAAATGTGGCAACAACATCATTAGTAGGAAGTGAAATCCCTTCTTGAGTAGAAACCTCGTTTAATATCAAACTCCACAATCGAGCACTGGATACATTGGAAGTCATCTTCGAATGGGAAATTGAGTTACCAAAATCAGCCCAGAGAAATGAACCATAATTAACATTAAGGACATAGTACAAACCATCCATAATTGTGTAGCACTTAAGTTTCGCCTTATCCAATCCAAAACTCCTGCCTGTGAAACAACGAGAGTGATTCCAAAGAAAAACTCCATACCCCAGGAAGACTCGACTTCTTGAAATGACTAACAACTGAAAGAGTTGGCGGATTCCCCATTTCATTGAACATGTGCACCACTTGTTCACTTGTAACTTCGTCAAAATCTCATTCAGATGGTAATTTCAGAATTTGGGAAAACTGCTTCTTAGTTAATCGTTTGCTCTTGTTCGTGATTAACTGAAAAGTAACGATTCATGTGGTTCTCTTGTACACAACAGTTGAAACAGCCATAGATAACCATTTCATAGGTATAGAAAAAGAAGAAGTTAAAGCATGAGTCATAATTGAATCATTCAACACCTGAATATGAATCTTCAACTCGTCTAGATAATCCTTGATCAACGGGTCGGACCAAAGATTTTTACACTAAATCTTCATAGTTGGCTGAGAAATTTCTTCTTCGTTTATGTCTAATTGATCAACCATGTTGTTTCCAGTAGACATGTCGAACAATCGAGAGAGAATTTGACAATGCCAAGTGTAAAGTGAGTTAATGAACATCAATTCCTTGAACTCCCACATGTAAATGTGATGATCACTTTTCTTGAGCCACAACAAGTCACATAGAACGTCCCATCCAACGGACACTTCGCCTTCGATAAAAATTGAACCGTCACTCCCTTCATTGCGAAGCAAAGAACCATTCGTCGTTATGGAGGTAAGTCTCATTCACTTATGGTAATTGTAAGTAAGATCATGTGCAAGACTTTGCGAAATCTAGGTTTGGGTTGGTAATACCCATAACCTCAAGGATCTCAGTGCTTATGTGTTCCAAAAGAAAAGATAGAATTAAATTAAGAAAATTTTAGACATAGTGATGTCAAAGAGTCTTTGATATAAAAGAAAATTTATCGAAGGCAAAGACACTCTTCATTCGTCATCAAGAGAGATGTTGAATTGCTTGTGTGTTTTCCCATAAATTACCATTGTATACTCATTGAGGAGTAACAAAGGGCCTCTTCTAATAAGCCTCGTAGGTGGCTTTATTTTCATACAAATTTGCATCTTAACATAAATGCAAATCGTTGTAAATAAATACTTGTATGACCAGTGTTTCCATGAACAAGCAAGCGTTGAAAATTTTTGAAGTAACAAAGGATTAAGACAAATATTCATACAAAATTCTCATTTAAAAAAATAGAAATCTGGATCTATTGGGAAGAAATGACTTAGGATTAGTACATTTCATCAGGATCACTCAAAATAAAGGAAAAAGAGGTTTTGAACGTCGAAAATGGTACCGTGAAACATAAGGTTTCGTTAAAATCTTGAACAATAATGTTCACCGTCAATTTATAAAGTTGTGGTTTGTTGGGTCCCACCGTCATCATGGAAAAATGATTTAGGATCATAAACATAGAACTACGACACACCTACATCTTGATTGGTTTTGACCAGAGATGTCTTAGGCATGCATCCTTGTGTGTGCATGTGTAAGAAATTTTGGGTGAAAAAGATTGGCAACGAAAATTCATTGTACCTCTGTGAATGATAGGACCCTGCAGTCATCTCTTTACCCAAAATGAGAAAAGAATGGTAGCTCTTCAACTATTGTGAATACAGCCTAATGGGAAGAAATTTTCGTAAGAAAATTTTCATTAAGGCTTCGTACACAACGAGTCTATGAGGCTTTTGGACAACATGTTGCAGCATGCTTCTAACTAGTACAAGAGTTTCGAATCATACCATTTCCCTGTTGAGCTTCGCTTTATGCATGCAAAAGAGCAACACATTGTTACAATTAACTTCCCAATCTCAAATGAAATTGTTTTTTTATTTTTGATTTTTGAAAATAAAAAAGATGAAGAATTTTTTTTTTGGATTTTTGATTTTAATATAGGAAAAATAAAGAAAATCTTTTTGGATTTTTGAATTTTATAAAGAAAAGACAAAAATAAAGAAAATATTTTTGAATTTTTTGAATTTTATAAAGAAAAGCCAAAAACAAAAGGATATCACCAACATTGGTCATTGGTTATTGATAATGAATATTTCATAAGAAAACCAACACTTCCCATTTTTCTCTTCACTTCCCATAAACGAGCGTTTCCCATAAATGTACGCTTCCCATAAACAAGAGCTTCCCATAAACGAGCTTTTCTCATAAATTAGCACTTCCTAGAAACATTGACTTCCTAGAAGTAGGCGCTTCCCAGAAATATGTGCTTCCTATTTGTAAGATCCTTCCCACTGAGAGACACTTCCCATTCGCTAGATATCAACATTACTGAACGAGTCAGAGATAATGTCGAAAGCGAAGTGGGTGGAACGCTTAATGTGAACAATAACCTCTGAACGGATTTTTTTTCCCAATAAACGAATATTAGTCACAAAATTGTGTAGATCAAGTTCAAGAAAAATTAATTAGAATTAGGAATATAGAAAGCATCCATTATTCCCAACCCATTTAAAATTCTCATAAATAATTTTTCATCCAATGGTTTTGTAAAAATATCATTCGGTTGGTCTGTTATTTTAACAAAATGAACTTCAATATTCCTATCTTCAATATGATATTTGATGAACAGGTATCGAAGTGCAATATGTTTAGTTTTTGAATGTCGAAATGGATTATGATATATGCGAATTGCGCTTTGAGAATCACAATATAATAGAATTTTCTTCATGTTAATCGCATAGTCATGTAATTGACTTTGGATCTAGACCACTTAGGATGTAGAAGCTGCAACAACAATGTATTCAGCCTCGGCTGTTCAAATCGATACACATGTCTTCTTTTTTGACTGCCAACTCACAAACTTCCCATCTAAGAATTGACATCTGCATGTAGTGTTTTTTTGATCCAATTGACAACCTCCTAGATCAGCATCCAAGAAAGATTGAATAAAGAATCTTATGTTTGAGGAATACCATAAGCCAAGAATCGTAGTGCCATGAAGATAACGAAAAATATTCCTCACCGCTGTAAGATGAGTTTCTCTGGGATTCGCTTGATACCTGGCACAATTACACACAGAAAATATAATATCAGGTCGACTTGCAGTTAAGTACAATAAGAAACCAATCATCCTCTTATATATCTTGAGATCAACAGCTAGCTTATCCAACAAATGACCTAAGCGATTACCAACTAACATGGCAACCTTAGCTTCCGAGTACTTCGTCATTCCAAAATGTTCAAGCAGGTTTCATGTAAAGCTTTCTTGATTGATAAAAATTCCCTCCATGCTTTGACGAATATTCAATCCCAAGAAATGATCGATCTTCCCTATCATGCTCATTTCAAACTGACTATTCATAACATCCTCAAAATCCGTTGACAACGAAGGGTCATTTGAACCAAATATTATCTCATCAACATAAATTTGAACAAGCATTAGATGATCCTCCACTTTCTTTCGAAATAGAGTGGGATCACCTGATCCTTACTTAAATTTAGCGATTTTCAAAAAATTGGTTAGCGTAGCATAGCAAGCACGAGGTGCTTGTTTTAACTCATAAACAACTTTGCCAGGGATATAACAATGATCAAGATACTTATCGTTTATGATACCAGGTGGTTGTTCGACATAGACCGTCTCTTCAAGAGCACCATTTAGAAATGCGAACTTTACATCTATTTGATAGACGTCAAAATTCTTATGAGATGCATAAGCTAGAAAAATTCTTATAGCCTCGAGTCTTGCGACAGGGGAAATGTTTCTTCGTAATCAATTCCTACTTGTTGACAATAACCATTTACGACTAATCTAGCTTTATTTCGAGCAACACTACCTTATTAGTCCATTTTATTTTTAAAACCCCATTTAAGACCAACAATCGAAACATCATCAGGTATGGGAATAAACCTCCAAATTTGGTTTCTTTCAAATTCACCCAAATCAGATTGCATGCAACAACCCAAGCGGGATGTTCTAATGCATTCTTGACTGTTTTTCGTTCGATTTTTGAAATAAAAACAATAAACATACAATATTCTTGATGAACATTAAGAACCTCATACCAAGCTCAAACAT